GGGTTGTTGCAGCTTGAATTGATTATTCTGTGTCCTACACTCTTGTATCAGCAAGAAGAGATCTTGACTTTCCCCTTTGGGACAGCCTTTGAGGTACTTATAGAGAGATATCATGTCCCCCCCCCCCCCCCAGCCTTCTCTTCTCAAGGCTGAACATGCCCAGTCCTCTTAGTCTCCCCTCACAGGGCAGAGTTTCCAAACGCTGGAGAGCCAGTGTGGTGTAGTGGTTAAGAGCATGGGACTGGGACTCTGACGACCTGGGTTCTAGTCCCCGCTCAGCCATGGAACCAACTGGGTGAATTTGGGCCAGTCACAGACTCTCAGCCCAACCTACCTCACAGGATTGTTGTTGTGGGGATAAGATGGAGGAGATGTAAGCTGCCTTGAGCCCTTTGTAGGAAAAAGGCAGGATATAAATCCAAAAATATATAAATAAAATCATTTTTGTCGCCCTCCTCTGGACCCTTTCTAATTTTTCTGCATCTATCTGAAATCTTGGTGCCCAGAACTGGACACAGTTTCCAGGTGGAGTCTGACAAGTGAGGAGTAGAGGGGAACTAATTCTCGTGATTTGGAAGTAACACTTCTATTAATGCATCCCAAAATGGCATTTGTGCTTTTTGCAGCTGCACCGCATTGTTGGCTCATATTTAGCCCATTGCCCACAATTACCCCAAGGTTTTTTTCAGTTCTGTTGAGCCACGTATTCCCCATCTTAATCCCCTAATGCTTTAGTGTTATTGATTCTAGAATGTTATACTGTTTTAATTGTGTAAGCCACACAGAGATCCCAAGTATGGGCTATTGCAGTAGCAAATAAAGTGAAATAATAACTAAAAATAAGTAAGGGGGCTTATGTATCATGCACCTATGCGCCCTTCCAGGCTGTCCTCCAAATTGACGGAACAGGCTGCCTTTCCAGCTTGTCCTCTGCTCTGGTGCTTGCTGAATGCCAGGTCCGTCCGAAACAGAAACTTTCTCATCCATGAGTCGTGGATGAGAGGGTTGGCCCAGGTTGTCTTACTGAGGCCTGGGTGCGGGAATAAGGGAGCAGTTGTGCTCTCCTGGGCGCTCAAGCGTAGCACCAGCATTGGGTTGCTCTGCCCTCTATTAATCCCATCTGCCTCTCTAGCCATCAACTCAGATCTTGGGGGCTTGGGAATCCCCCAGTTCACATTCTAAAGTTTAATTTACACACAAGGAGGCCTATACCCTAGTTCTTCTAAGACATTGTCAGAAACTGCCTAGTCAAAAAATCCCCAAATTTCAGCCTCCTGCCTTCCCCTGCCCCCCTATAAACCAAAATATGTGCAGGGTACAAAATGACCCCAAAGTCTATTGCGTTTTTGCCACTGGGTTAACGTAGTTACTCTATAGAATGGACTATATTGGAGTATAACATGCCCCATTCACTTTTGAGGAAAAAAGAGATGTTTTAGTCTATTCTAGCCTCTTTTGGACCCCAAAGTGGAGATCCTCCAGTATTCCCAGTTTTGCACAATGGAACATTTTCCTATGATGGCAAGAGAAGCATCTGTGAGGATGCTTGTAGAAGGCTTTGTCCTGTTTTTATGGGGTGAAGAGGGGAAGGAATGAAGCACAGCAGCTCAGAAAGCAAGCTACCTTCTCTCGACTTCTTAAGGTAGCAGCCCACATGCACAGTCAAACACTCACATCTGAGTGCAGCAGCCACTTTGGAGCTGTTTTTCCACAGTGAATTTGAGAGGCGGGTGCCGAGTCCGGAGCAGAGGAGGGCATTCCCAGTGTGCACAGTAGCTCTGAATGACAGTTCAGTCCAACACAGCACGCCTCCTCAGCAGACAAGGAGCAGCCCGAGCAGGTTCCCTGCAGGCACGAGCAGGAGGCAGGTCCACGACTGGGTGAAGGGGCCGAGGGTGTGAAGAAGGGCGTCGTGGCAAGAGGTGGGTTGGTGGCACGACCATCCGAAGATCTGGTCCCACTTGAACAACCTGGGGATGCAGAATGGCAAGAATGGGAAGACTGGGGGCACAAACCCTCCGCCTGTTCACTAAGAGCCACCAGAGGCAGCCTCCGCCAGCACCCAGGGTCAAAGAGGAAGGACAAACACAACGGTGGTTGTGTTCACACAACAGAACAAGCAACCCTGCATGGTTACCACGATTGGGTTTTTACCTTGATCTGCCCGACAGATGACCACATGGTTACTTTGTCATCATGGTCTCCATCCTCCCTGCTCAGTTCTTCTGCTCTTGGCATGTATCCCATCAGCAACCATACCTGGAATTCAGTCTCAAGGTGCATTGCCCCCTGCCTACATTACCTGCCTGATCCTCACTGGCCTGCACACACAGGTGAGATGGCTGGAGTGGCCTTGGCAGTTACCGCTCTTCCCAAGGAACGTTGTGCTAGTTGCATACCAGCACCGTGGAAACCACGGACCTAGGTTTGGAGAGCACAACAATCCATGATGCTACAGAGGACAAATTGTTTCTTATCATGGTTTCTGGAGAACTACCATGCTGAAATACCACAACCGGGTTCAGACAGCACAACAGACCAACAATGGTATAAAACCACCATGGCTTGTCATGTTGCCTGCACTCAGTGAGTATTTCAGAAACTCTTGCGCTGCTTCTCAGAGAACCAACACTCTGCCTCTTAGTCCATCAAGCAACTTAGAGGCAGAGCGTGGAACAGGATATTCCTAAGTATTCAATGGAAGCCACTGAAAGTACGCATTTGACTCATGCTTCTGAGAGGCCTGTTCCACAGATGTCATGAAGCCTTGGCTGAATTTTGGGAGCCTGTTTCAGGGCACGTGTTCTTCAAAGTAACTATGAGTCTCGGTAGATTCCTCTGATGTAATGAGGTTCCTAAGGTTTAAGAACAAGGTAACCAGAGAGACTTGCTGTGCTCTAGAACAGCTCACTGCCTTTCGTGACACATGAACCATGCTTGTGGAAGAGTTTGTGGAGCACACATAGGGCAGACGGCACTGTGGAGTTGGCAAGAAGTTGTTCAAAGCAATGCACAACCAGTGAACCTGGGAAATACTGACCAATGTTTGCTGATCTCGGGAGATCCTGTCCTCTCAGAATATGTGCACTGGCATAGGCAGCCTGAAGCATTGTGGACAACCCCAGCTTGGAATCCATGTGGTGGCAACCCTTGTGGAACCCTGTTTCCATACTGGCAGAAAGATGGAGACAATTTTTCACCAGTATTGAACTGGCTGAGCACTTGATACATCAAGATTTAACCTAGCTTGGTGAAATGGGAGAGAATAAGGCACTTGAGATGTGGCCAAATCCATGCAGGGTCATCCTGTATCCATAGGTTGGCTCTGTCATGAATTCAAGCCACTCTCTCAGCCTCATTCCCTCACCCATCTGCCATTAAGGGCAATAATAATATTGGCTTGCCTTACACAGGTGTTATTAAGGATTGCAGACAGAAAATGTAGCTGAAGTACTCTGAATTCTTCTTCGTGAGAGTGTTAGCTGAGGTTCAAGCCTTGGCAGAGAAGTGAAGGTTTTGAAGATGTTCTTCCAGGAGATGCTAAGAATGCATTTGGGAGACAGCCTTGTTGAACTGGAAGGCTTACCATCTCAGGGCACCGCCATGAAGGTTCCCCCCTCCCCCACTGTCACCCCCAGCAAATTGTAGGGAGGAGGGCGACAGAGAAAGCAGGGCCTTTTTACGACCCCTGCTCCGACTTTCTTTTCTTCCCTTTCCCTCCTCACTCCTCCTTCCTTCCTTCTGTGCTGTGCTTTTTAAGATTGCAGCAAGCTGGAGCCATCTTGGCTTACCAAGTCTGTGAAAGCTGCTCCAGGAGCTATTTGGTTGAGCAGCAGGATCCAGAGACTGCAAACACAAACAGTATAAATAAATGAGCCTGCATACTGCGAGCCTCCCATGAGAAAGAGCCAACCCCACCCCCTGCACCATTTTGTGCAGCCCTGTGCAAATCTGCTCTTTAAACAGCGGGAGTATCCAGCACCCTGCTCTTCTCCCAGGACCTGAATGTGTAGCTCGAGGCAGTGCTGTTGGATGTTCGACGCTGCTAAGAACGGGCCGCTCTCGGCTTGCTGAGGGAGAGCGTGCCGGCAGTGCAGCACAGGGGGGAAGCAGATGCTGACGCGGGTTCTTATGCCAGGGCTGCTCTCTGCCCTGCACTGCTTGACCCTTATCAAAGCCTACTGCATTCACTCTGTAAAATCAGCACAGAAGCATTCAGGAGAATCACTCCAGTGAACAAGCTAAGAAGGAAGACAGAATTCTACTACTCTCCGGTGGATCCTGGCTGGAGCGCCCCGAGGAGCCCGTGCAATGCAGCTGTTGGAATGATGGGCTAGGTCTGAGGGAAAGCTGGGCTCAAGGCCCCACGTAGCCACAAACCCTGCCATGTGACCCAGCGGCCTATGTTATTCCACAGGCTTACCCGTTTCTCCTGGGAGGAGACAAAGGCTGCCACCCACCCCTCAATAGTGGCTGTGTGTAGTGAGACAAGCAACCCTGGCTGGATCCACACTGTGGGAAAGGCCAGTGCGCCAGTTCGGGGCATCTCTCTTGAACTGCTGGGCTATGGAGAGAGACAGAACGAGGGCGATCTTGCTGCGGTGCAGATGCAACACAGGAGCAGCAAGGTGCTGGGTGGCCTGGCTTGGAAGAGAAAGCGGGCTTGCACTCCAGTGTGCATCTTCAGGAACCGCCCCAGGAGACAGGCGGGAGGGCTGCACAGGTGTAGGGCACAGGTGGAGGGCCACTCAAGAATGTGAACCAGCCTAAGGCTCTTTCATAAGCCAGGACCAAATCTACCAGCAGAACATGCCAGATAACTTCCCTCAGCATTAGATTCTGGGGCGGCCTTACAGTCTGTCTGATTATCCATTTTGCCACCAGAGGGGAGAGCCACCTAGATCTTCTTTGTTTGCAACAGAATTCTCTTGTGTCAGCTCTGACCAAGTGGGCCAGGGTCAACAAACAAGAATAGTTGAAGGAGGCATGAAGTACTGAAGTAGCATATTAAAAAAAAGTTTATTGCATTTCATGCAGCTTTTAAACACATGCTTTGATGGAACATCTTCTTCATACACTTAACCAATAACTCAAATCCACGCATCCAGACTGTTAAATATTTCCAAAATAATGCAAGGGCAACTTTAAAGGCTTTAGAAAATAGGCTTAATGTAGGAACACATCTGGGGGGGGGGGGTTGTCCTTGGAAGCTACACTTGGGACATTATTTAAAAAACTGGAAATTCCACTTGCCCATTCCTCCCCCTCCCCACCCCCCCTCTCTCTCTCACACACACACACACTTGTACATACACTCATATACATTGTGACTAAGTTACACAAGTAGGAGATGTCCCTCTAAAGCGAAAGCACAGGTGATATGGATGCACATCCGGGAAGTTGGTTGTTGACTGGATGGGGAAGTGGGAGGGACCAAGAAAAGACGCTGGACCGTTAAAGAAACAAAGAGTAGCAACACTGCTTGACAGAGCTGTATAAAATGTATTTCTGTACACAGAGCACAATCATGGAGCGATGCAGAATTTGAAACTTCTAAAAACCAAAATATTGCATCGCTGTCAGTTCAGGAGAATACTTTCCCCCACCAGTTTGAAGCAGTTCATATAATGCAACGCCGCTCTCAGCCCTTGGTTGCTTTATACCGAATGAAGATACATACTAGGGAAGAGATGGGGAGGAGGAACGTTAAGGAGACCTCCTGGACCTGCTTGGTGGTCTCTTAGTCAAGTTGGAAGGAAGCCTTCTGGCTGGACCAGCTCAGTCTCCTGTAACCTGGGGGGCCTGTCCATCTGTCGTCTGATTGGTGGATTGAATGAACATGGGTTGGGTGATGTCCTGACCGGCAGGCATAGTCACTTGCTGGATCTGGTACAGTTGCTGGAAGAAAGCAAGCAAGGAGAACCACCATGTAACCAAATCCAGAACCCACTCAGCAAGCTCAAGACATGGATGCCACAAACATCTCACTTTCATAATTGGCGGTACTCGACTGAAAATAAATCCCAGCTGCCAATACTAATGGTAATCCCTTCGCCTGTAAGGAAGTATTCAAAACATTTACTGTCCTAGGTCTGAAATACACAGATGGAGCAAAAAGATGACCTTCACCCAAGCCCTGAACCCCATCAACCGTTTGCTTTCTTAGCAAAAAGAGGAGTGGGCTGGTGGACACCCCTCGCTTGATCCTGTTTAGGCAACAAGCCTCCTTCTGGAGTGGATCCACCTACATCATGGATCCTCAAACTACGGCCTGCGGGCCGAATCTGGTCCACCATGCCCATTTGTGCAGCGCACCTCAGAGGTTTTGGATGCACTTGGAAAAAACGATCTCCGAGCAAGCAAGCCGCTGCCTCGCCATACGCCCGCCTGCTGCCTTTCAACTGCCCCCCGGCCGAAAAAGTTTGACAACCCCTAACCTACATCAATATGTCCCAAAAACAGCCACCATGGCTTCTGAGGCTCATACCTGTCCATCTGTAAACTGGCTGAATTGCTGCTGCCCCTGTTGAACTTCTGTCTGTGCAATCTACAAAAGACATGGATTTATTGACATTTGCAGTCCCATTCTTTAAAGAAAAAAGGTGTGTGTGAGTGTATGTGTACGTGTCCGAGGACACATGCCTTATCTACGCAGCAGAGACAGAGAATACTGGAACTCTTCTAAATCTTAAATCAACCTTCCAGGCTCTTGGATTACACCTCCCAGAACCTCTTGGCCTGCTGAGCCATAGGCCTCCTCTTTTAATTGGCCCTCAGCTGTAATCCAGCTCTGCAGGTTAGTGCTCTGAAGTCTAACTCTGTTGAAGGTGGTGCGCTGGGATCCATACATGGACTGCACCTTGAGATCAGGTGGGAGGCGCAACTTTTTTAATGGGGAGAAACAAGGTCAGTGAATGAGAAAGAGGAAGAGAATAATATCTGATTTACAACAAAATTAGTAAGGCTGGTCCCAGGTAGAAGATAAAAGTCTATTCCAGGCCTGTATGAGTTGGAAGACTGCAGTACACAGGACTGAAAGGATTTATTCAATGAATGTATTTAACAGTGATGCAAATAGTCTTGTAAAGCACTGGAAATTAGACAGATACAATGGCTGAATACAAAGAAAAGCAACATAACGACTGGCAGCTGGCCAAAATGGAAAAGCTGTCCTAGAGACCCTTGCCAGATGTACAGCGGAGTGGGATCAACACAGATCACCTCACACATCTGAGTATTTTTTTAAATGGATAAATCTGAGAGCAGAAACTCAAGCTCAGCAAAGCTATCCCCATTCCTTGCTCCAGAGTCTGCACCTCACGAAAGTTAACGGCTTTCCAACCTAGCCGGGGTATTTTAAGAGCTTTTATCAAACCTGTTTATACCTGCTGTGTACTGGCTGCGAGAGTCTGGATCTGACCCTGGACCACCTGGGTGCCAGACACAGGCTGAGCTAAGCGGATATACTGTAGCTGGCCGGCGTTGAGCTGCACCTGGAAATGGGGAAGAGGGAGGGAGGTGACACAGAGCTAGTACCCTGAAACATGTCTGCCCGTCAGTTTCCAAGGGCCAAGGGGAGATATAGAGGCTGGTGGACCAACGGGAGCCGGAGCGGAAACATAAGCACACCCCTACTCCACTACTTCCAGTGCGGCACTGAAGAAGGGAAGGTGTGGGGAACAAGAACCTGCTCCCCACACTTGCGAATCTTCTGTCAGAAGCAATCAGCACATGCTGAGATAGCATTTTGCCGAGGGAGAGCAAGGTAAGGTGGGGAATGCCCATCCTTAGCACTGGACTGCACGTGGCATTTGCGGTGGGCACCACTTCCGTGAAAGGGCTTCTGGGGCCAAGTGCCAAACGTCTCCCACCACAGAGTACAGTCCAAAGACTCGCTGCAGCCCCCGTGCCTGCAGTGACTCTGCTCCCAGCAGCCAGTGTGGCTGGCCACGAGAAAGGAGTGGGAGGAATCAACGGAGGGGCTACTGGGCTCCTCCCTCTAGAGGAGTGGATTCATGAGCAACCGAGGGCAGTGAGCAGCAGGTAGCAGACAAGGGTAAGCACGTGACCCCGGCCAGGAATAGGGGATGGCTTCCTGCAGCGTGCCATCTCCCAGCAAGCTGCCACGCTGCACACACCGACGCCAGTTTCTGCAGTGTGGCTTGCTTGTGGGCAATAAACCACCTGACCCCATGGCTTGCTGGACCCAGGTGAGCAGCCAGGTGAGTCGCCCCCCTGGTGAAAGCATCACCCCGTGCCAAGCCAGCCTGGGCTGCCTCCAGCACCAGCCTCCCTGGCAGGCTGGAGCAGGCATCGCGGGGCTGCTGCCCCCTGCCAGCACTGCAGACTGCCTGGGCTGGCCGCCTCAGTGGGCGTCTGAAAAGCGCTCAGATGAAAAGATGTTAAAGAGGAACGGTTTGCAAGCCAAAGTGCGGGCCATTGTGGTGGGGGGAGAGCAGACGTGCCGGCCTCACTGCAGCGGCCCCTGGGGTACCCACGAGGGACTGAGGGGGAAGGAGGCAGGGACAAGTCACACTCGGCCCAGCTGCCTGTTGGGAGCCCCGTGAACAACCCACCCCTTGCGGCTGGCTCGAAGGTGGGCTGTGCTCATGTGCAACCCCACCCAGCGTCATTCTACGTCCTGAGCTGCGCCTGGAAGGAGGGGAGCACCTGGAGACAAGACATCCCGTCTGTGGCGACAGGGAGCAGGAAGACCACGCGACGCGGAAAGAGGCGAAGGGCCGCAAGGCTCTCACCGGTATCTGCTGGATTTCGCCAGTGTTGGTGATGATCTGCTGCATGACTTGCATGGTCTGCCCAGTCCCGCTCTGCGCTGGCTGGGCTTGCCCCTGGGGCTGCGCCTGGACGATCTGCACCTGCTGTCCTTCGCCCACCTGCATGGTGACAGGGGTGGTCTGGAGGAAGAGAGCATTTGGAAAGTGGCTGAGCCTTCCGAGGCGGCATGCTGGCTGCCTCCAGGATTTATATTTTGATTTTCAGGTGCTAAGCCAGCAAGGCACCGAAGTGGAGGGAAACGGGAAACTCTGGACAGACGTGAGAAGGGTGACTGTGGCCAGAACGTTCGTGGCAAGGTGGCAAGACCTGTGGAGAGGGGATCCACCTCTTCCTGCAGGCTTCCCTGGGTGTGCAGCCTGCCAGATCTCAAGGGGCAGACAGCACAAACGGAACATGCACATGGCCCAACCAAGCTGAGACTCCAGGAGGAGGAGGGACTGGGAACACCAGGCAGGAGAGTCAACATACAGCCTCTGCCTTCACCTCATTCTCCCCCTTCTTAGCTTCTTCCCAAGGCAGAAAGAAGCAGGGTCTGCTCGCTGCTCCTGGATGCGCCTGGTCTGTGCAACACCACCCCGGCAGCCTGCTTCTGATTTTGACGCAGCACAGAGGAGACGTTTCTGTCCACGAGACACAGGCAGCTGCGAGGAGGCCCCTGGGCTACTCTCAACAGCAGCCACTGCCACCACCCATCTTTGCCGGCTGCTGTTTTGACTGCTGCTCTTTGCGTCTGTCAGCTGTTCTTCATGGAGTACTAGCTCCTTCATGTAATACTTCTGTACGCTGACTGGCTCGGGACCGGCCTGTTGGGTGGCATACAGATTTTAAATATGTTTATGTAAAGGAAGGCTGCTGCTGCTCTTCATGCCAGCCTGTCCGTATGCAAGTTATGTCTGCTGAATTTTCAGACTGGCAAATGCCATGTGACTCCAAGCGGGCAAAAGGGAGAAGCAGCGGCGGCCCACTGGTTTCCTGCACACCCTTCCATCTTCCTCTCTGGATTGTCCTTGTGCACTCTGGGACGGCTCAGGGAAAGCCTGAAGGCTCCACCAGGGACTGCCGTCCCCCCAGCCGAGCTGAGGCAAGACACCACCTGCCTCCGCTTCAGAGAACAGAGCACCAACGAGGCGGCCCTTCATGCAAACACCTGCACATCGCCCAGCTGCCCTTCCCTCAACCGAAGCGAGCAAATACGCTGCCAAGCCACAGTCCTCTTCTCCAAGACAGCCATGGCGAAAGCCACATGCCCGTGGCAGCCGAGAGACCTGTGTCGTGGCAGAGGGGGTGAGCCCCTGCCCTCTGGCATCCACTGGACTGAAGGGCTCCCTTCCCTTCCCATACTCCGGCAGGTGGCATGGAGGGAGATGAGAGGGAAGGCAGGGCCAGTCCACCAGCCCAACGGCAAGGCTCCCTTTCTCCCCCACTTCATTTTTCCTTGTGCACTGCACCCTTCTGGAGTCTAAATCTGCAGACAGGGATAGCCTTGTATTATTATTTCATTTCTGTACTGCTCATAGGTGAAACTCTGTGGGTGGTGTACATCAAAATAGAAGAATACAATACAGAGCGTTATGCATACGCCACCCTGGCAGCCTTCTGGGTTGCGTAGCAGCAGAGACGTATTTCGACCAGGTTATCCCTGGATGTGCAGCCCCTTGCCCACAGCAGGTGGGCAATCAGTTAGAGAGCTGGGCAGCTTGCACTGACCGGCATTCCCAGCTTTCTTTTTCCCTACCAGTATCAGCCTTACATCTCAATAGCCTTTATGAGGAGTTGTTCATACTGCCTTCCTCTAATGGGAAGCCCTTTCCCCCACCCTGCTGTTGGCGCTATGTGGCCTTTAACGCTAAACGGAAAACAATCAAGAGGGCAAATGCCAGTGCAGAGCTCAAAGCACCTCCCCGCCCACCCCACGAATGCCCAGGCGCCAACCTGCCCTTGCTGGGGCTGTGCGATGATGATCTGCCCTGGCTGGATGGTCGTCGTGGACGTGGTCGTCTGCTGCCCCTGCTGCTGCCCCTGCACTTGGACAGCCGCGGGCTGCTGGGCGAGCGTGAAGTAGTACTGGACGGGCTCTGCCGGGGTCACGGCCTGGCGCACCTCCTCCTGTGCCAAAGAAGAAGAAAGGGCTGGAAAAGCGGCTTCGCCAGCTGGAATCTGGTAACACCATGAGAAAGATAGCTGGTGTCTTCAGTAACATTCAGTAGCCTCATGCTAACTGAGATTGGAATAATGGATTCCACATGCAGAAAGAGCATTACAAGAAATTAAAAATCGAGGCACCTCAAAATGACTGTGACATCACCATTTTTTCCATTTGCACCCACCCCCCGAAATGGAAAGCTCTTAAATTTTACTTGAATGTGTGCATCAGACAACATTTCTCACTCATTTCTGTTCCCAAGAAACTCTTTCAGTCCCCTCTAACTGCATCCTTTCATGGAAGTTTTGTTTGTTTGGCTACTGACAGGAGGTAGGATGTCGGATGTGTGAGAATGCTCCTGCACTAGCAGGCCTTCCCCCATCTGGGGGCAAAAGGACAGGCTAGGATTTCACTATGGGCTATGGAAGAATTGGTGATCCTCTAATGAATGGCTTGATGTGCTGCTGCAGAGGATGGGAAGGCGCAGGGTCAAGTTTGTGGTCCCCTGTGTAGTTCACCTTGGACAAAGCACAATCTTTCAGCCTAATCTATCTGAGCAAGACTGGAGTGGAATGTTCCCCTGTATTCCATCCAGGCCTCCCCAAAGCACGAGTGGGATGTAAAATGCAATAAACAGAAGCCCAAATTAAGACGAGCCACTCCCATGTTAGTTTCTCTAACATGGGTTCAGAGAGCCGAAAAACCCTTGGTCAAAACCACTGCTGGCATTACCATTCCATTCTTACAAGAATTCTGCAATTCAGACAACATGGGGCGCTGGTGGTGGGGAGGGGTGCCCTCCCACGAATCGTATCGCATCACCTGGACTAGAGCTTTTGTCCCCTGAAAAAACGGGCAGGACTGGATACTAAACAGCCCTGGGCAGAACACGGGGCCTGCAGCCGCCACAGTCAGCAGCCTCCCACCCACTTTTCCCTCTAAAAAGAATTCCCAGCCTCCCAAGTTCATGGCCTTCCCACTGCTGGCAGCAGCAGACCAAGAGCAATCTCAGCAGTGATCACTATGGGGCGGGAAAGACGTTATCTCCCCCCCTCCCCCAGATCCCAAGATCTCAATGAACAGGGAGGGGAGGTGGGTGGGTGTGTCTGGGCATGCAAACCTGACCCCCAGCAGAGGAAGAGCCTGTTTAAACAGACAGCTTTTTGGTCCTTACCAAACCTGAGTTGCTATGATGACACAATTTAAAGCACTCTCCAGTAAAACAGGAACGCATTTCTATAAAAGCTCTCTCAGTCCTGTTGGGAATCTCTACCAGGCGCCATCACAAGAGGGGGCTGTGGGGAGCAGATACACAGCATGCCGACTTCCAGCCCCACAAGGAATCAGCCCATGGCAGCAGGCGCAAACACCCTCCTCCCAGCCACTACAAAGCCACAGCTGAGAGTGTAGGATGTTTACACACGCTGCTGCACGGAAAAGGCCCGAGCTGGTCCAGCGGCCTCCATTTCCTCTCCTTGCTCATAAAGGCAGCGAGAGAAGTCTCTGTGTGGAGGCTTCATGGTCACTGAGTGCTTCCACCTTTCATGTGCTGGTTGCAGCCCCTGCCCGGGTCAGCTGTGACTGAACTCATCCTGGCCCCCAGTGGGACAAACTCAACAGCCAGATGTTCCTGGCAGGCAGGCAGGCACTCGAAAGCCTATGACTACAAGATCCCTCTGGAGAGTCCATGAGCACTGGGGGCCAACTGCCATGCTGCCCACTGCCACTCTTGTTTGGCCAAGGTCTCCTGCCAATGTGCTCCCTCACAACCGAGAAAATATCCAGGCACTCTCCCTGGGGTGTGAAGCTGCCCCATCTTCTAAACTGTAGATCCTGGGTTTGTTCTGGCTTTACAGCTTAAGCTTCTTCATACAGACAGACAGGGAAGGTCTACAAAGCAATTTCCTAATACCCACTTTAAAAATTCTTATGCAAGGTTTAGAAGTTTCTGAAGCACTTTGAAAATGAACAAGTACTGCCTTAAAATTGCGATCAAGCAGTCATCCAGCCCTTGTGCCAGCAGCCCTCTGGGTTAGCAGAGGCCAGGAGGCAAGATGGCCAAGAATGGCAAGAATGGATTCCATCAGCCTTACGTAATGATCACTTGTGTGAAGTCACTGGACTGGGTCAAGACAGCAGACTACAGAGTAGGACAAGAATGTTTACGGGGAGGGGAAATTATCCCTTTATGACTTAAGAACTGAAAGCTGCTTCGTATGCAGAATGCATCCATACAAGGGTCTCCACCCCTGCAGCATTTTGCCTAAACGCCATATTCCTTATCTCTCTACTCGTAGCAAAAGATGAGTAACAAATACATCCCCATTCACTGAAGGAGACTGAAGAGGGAAAAGTGGACACTAATTTTACAAATGGCTGGGAGATGTTGCTGTGTATTTCTCCGTACAAGGGGTGGCGGGGAGTTGCTATTAAGAGGGAAGCTGATATTTCAGGCTCAGCCAGCCTGGAGTTAGAGCCTTGTGGTTCTTTGTGTGTGTGGACATGCACAAGTGTGAGGAAAGCACTTTTTTCCTGCTCAGTTCCCGTGAGATCTTCTCCAGCTGTGTATTGTAGGAGCACCACAGTTACATGGCAGAGCTGGAGGGAGGGAGGCATGTAGGAAAAGGAAGGAGCCCCCTTTCCTCTCCTTTCTGAACCCCCCCTCTACTGGAAAATCCGGCAGAGGAAAGGCAAAGGCAGAAGAAAGGGAAGGCTGCCTGTGAGGCGGATCAGCTCCCATTAGGGAAGCCACAGTCCTGAGTTTACGAGAGCTGGGCAGGGCTGTCCTGGGCAGGGCATTCTGGAGGGCTCTCACTCATACGGTTGCCATAAGCCAGAGACAACTTGATGGCGCATAACAACAAAACATGAAAGGAAGTCAATTTTTAAGCCACACAGCACATGTCCTATCAGTCTGAATCCACATTCCTCCATGTTATATTAATGGCCTGCGCCGTTGCAGATCCTCCATTTTCTACCACCCCCAACCCTGCCTGAACAGCACCCTGAAACTTCAAAGGCCCATGCCAGGTTGTTTCAAGTGTGCTTTCAAATTTGCATTTTTCTTTTCATTTACATAGTTCTCTGTACCTAAGGAGTCCGCTGAATAAGAGGCCACAATGTTATTTCTGGGTGGCCTCATTTCACACCCAAACTAATATATGAACTTGGGTGGGTGACTGCCTATTCCAAGGAAGGATGGGCTGAAAACAAGCGACGACGACTGCTGCTGCAGGCAGGATACAGCCTGGCTCAAACTGGTTCAGATGCCAAGCCATTCCTGCCCGAAGCGCTGCAAAATATTCACTAGGAATGCGAGTTATACAGAGGCAGAGGCTGACTTCATTCCTCCCCAAAGCTCCATGGAATGTGGTGTTGCAATCCTTGGAATGTGGCTGGGAGAAAGAGGTGCGGACGTCTCCATTCTTGGTCTCCTGGGGGCAGCAGCAGCAGATTTGGAACAGCACCCAACTTGGTACACAGGGAGAGCGAAGGCCCCATGGACCAAATCAATTACACTCTGGAGTCTACTCAGGAAGGAGTGCTGCAGCCCACACTGCGGGTAACTGGCAAAGATGGTGCGCCAAGTTGGGCCCGGCTCTTTGGAGCCTCCCTGCATTGACGAAAGCTCAGCCTCCCACTCGTGCTACACGCGGGTTCTTCAGCCTTGTCAGCTGACTGGGCACAGGCTGGTTCTTTCGTTTAAAATGCCTGTTTGACACCCTGTAAAATTTGTTTTCAGCACGTCGTCTCCCATGCACATGGAGAGACCCACAGGAAATTGTGTGTGTGTGTGTGCAAGACCATTCATTTCCAAATGTCAGAGATGAACACATCTTATGCAGCCAAAATGGCGCTATCCCTGCATGAGAGAGAGGTACCAGCCAGCCTGGGGAACCACGTGGTTTCCAAAAGATCCTGAAGAGGAACACTCAGACAGCCCCGTGAGGACTGAGCATGCTCAGTGGCTGCAAAATGCTGACTGAGTCTTGTGGTGGTGTTTATGTAGTGGAATGGAACTGACTATCCTTGAACCAAATGGGGGCCCTCCACACTGCAACAGTTTGTTGCAGGTGCTATGTATACCACACTATGCTTACAGTGTGAACATCGGATTGAGCGCTCAAATAGCAAGCCCGGAAATGCTTGCCGGAGAAACATTTCCCTGGCCGAGAAAATACCCATCCCGTACTGGAAAGGGGTGTATGGGGGCTGTAAAGATACAGAGAGCAGGAGGTCACTGCAGCAGTGAAGGCAGGGGTGGGGGTGAATAATCTGCTGACCAAAGCAGGGGCTATTCTACTGACGTCTTCTACACATCTGCATTCTACCTTTTTATTTAACCAACATTTTAATAATTAAGGGTTTTAGACGTTTTAAGGTTTTTTTGTTTTCTTTTCTGTTTTCACAGTCGCATTTCCTATTCCTATTTTATTTTTCCCTTCTTATTTTTCAGTTTATAATGTTCCATTTTAGATGTTTTTAATGATTGTGGTTTTATTTTTGTATTATTGTAACTTTATACTATGTAAGCCATCCTGTGCACTTGTGTGGAAGGACGGGATACAAATGTTTGTATTAAATAATAAATAAATGTGGGAATGAATTTCAAAGAGAGCAGAGCCTCCTTCCTCAGAGTTGTCTTAGGCTTTCCAGCAGGAGATAACGTCAGATCTCCCCCACAGCAGTCGCTTCCCAAATCTTCTCAACCTCCCAGGCCTGGGGCATTCACACAACATTTGCATCACTGCAGGCTTTAGCAGGAAGAGGAGCAGTGATCTGATGGTTTACTGCAGAGTAACGCTCCATCATTACTCAATGCCGGCCAACTTGACTTGGAAGGCCTATTAACATCATCATGCTCTCCTAGATTAGCAAGCGACCTGCAGAATCAAGGACTGCTCAGGACATTGCCACAAACACCCATTGACATGCCTGCACATATCATGTCAGAGCTGCTGATTCAAGTCATGAAGCCTAATCACGTGCGGCTACATCTGCTGTTGCCTCCCACACTGCCAACATTTAGTCTGAAAGCCACATGGCGACTCATGAAACTCCGCAAGAGTGCCATGCACAGGGATGGCACTGAGTGACCGCCACTTACCTAGCTGTGAGCTCTACGGCTGTGCCTCAAGGAGCGGAGGTGTCCTAACTCAGCAGCTGCCTCCCCGCCAGAGGCCCCCCCAGAGCCATTCTTCAATACAAACCCTCTTCATCCTGGGAGGACTGCAGCAGCCTGCCGCTGTAAACATCCGACTGAAAGCCCCTTCCAGCACCATACAGCTTCCAGTCAAGGATGTTTACAGGAGCAATGACTGCCCAGACGGAGTCAGGATGCGATGTTCCCAGCGTGGTTCATTCCTTACTGCGAGGCAGTAGTGAGCCTTCTTGTGATCTGGATTTTTTTGGTAGAGCTTCTTGGAAGAGAAAGAGTCCTCTAGAAGATGGCGATTCTTCTAATAAGTACGATTATGTTTGCTGTTGCTGGTTTAGTAAATTAATGTTTGTTATACCTATCTGCCCAGCCAACTGGACAAGATTTTTTAACCAGGCAAACTCAAGTGCCCTTGTGAACATTTCAGACGGCCAAGAGGAAAGTGCCATAAGGCTGCATGCATCCAGTCTCTAAGCACCTGACATAAACCTCCTGCACTGTGCGCAGGTTATTGCTTATGTAATGGAAACCTGCTGGGCAGGTAATCAAGTGTCCAATTGTGGGTTCAGAGAGCGGGGGGCACTCAGCACTTCAAATCAATACTCATGCTGCTTTTCACAATTTCTAAAACATTCAATTACCCGTCTCAAAGGCACTGGCAATACCGCCTGTCACACTGACATGACAGAAAAACTAAGTGTTTGGGAGAATAAGCATTCACCAAACTGGGTTTTAAAAATAACATTTTTTAAAAGCCGAGGACTAATAAAAATGAGTGAATAACTTGTTCCATCCTCAACAGGAGAAGATATAAGCCCTGGACAGCATACACGTTAGCTGAACTTCCATCCACATTCAGCCATTTCAGGCCAGCCCCACACTGCATTTCTTAGCTATAACCCAAACCCTAACCAGGAGCAGTAGCAGGGAGACTCAAGGTATGCCACAAGCTCTGTCTCTTTGGCTGCTTTATACCTGATTTGCAGATTGCAAAGGACTGGAATGCTGTTATATACTAGCCTTCCCGGACCTGGTGTCCCCCAGAAGTCTTGGACTACAACACCCATCACTGCTGACCACCTGGCTGAGGTTGATGTGAGTTGTAATCCACAACTTCTGAAGGGAAACAGTTTCGGGGAGGTTTTCTGGGGAGGGGAAATGGTGTCCTGCCTATATGGGACTTCAGGTGTATCAGATAACGTGGACCAGTGAATGCTAGATGTACACACAAAGTCTGCTGTGTTAAGAGTGTGCACAGTTTGTACTACAGTTTAACCTCAATATCTATTTTTTATAAAAGCACCTAATATATCCCACACATTGTACAAAGCAGAAAAGACAGGACATGAGTATCATGTAAAAAAGGTTTTAGCAAGGGCTACACTGAATGCTTGACCACTTTGACTGGTAAAAGTAAAAGGGAAGGTAAAAGGAAGTGCTTTTGGGCCCTACAAGGCATCTACAAAATTCTTTTCCACCCTGATACTGTTTAACCATTACTGCTCAGAGCCAATCCAAGGAGAACAACTTCCTTACCACCCAAGGCCAAAACACAAAATAAAAAAGGCCCAGACACAATGTACAGACATTACCAGAACGATTCGTGTATGACTGAAGGTATTTTGCCGCAGTGATCTTAAAGGCATGGGACAGCAAAAAGAGAGAGGGCACCTTCCGTCACAGACAGATTTCTTGGCAAAGATCCCCCAGACACACATTCCACATTTGAAGAGGCCCATGCATCCGAACACAGTGCAGACTCTGTTCCACCCTCACCTGACGCTTAGGAGGTTTAAGTTCATCCCTTGGAACGATGTCAATGAGAAAGTCAAACTGATCAAATTTGGTGATGGCCATGGCAATGTCATTTCTCTGTAACAAAGAGAAGGTACTGGTAAGATCAGGGTTTGGGTTCTTTTCCCCTTGCCTGTCCCATGTGGTGCTGAAACTGGTCTTGCTCCATAGCAGCAGTGCCTCAGAAGTAAGCCACTCTGTGAGCCTTTCTGACTAAAGGAAAGGGCAAAAACAAACAAACAAACGATTGCTTCAAATAAATGAGACATTCATCCCTGACTCTCATGGTCAACTCTGGATACCAAGCATCTCAGCTCCCATGTTCTCCCCTGTAGTACATTTCTAGCTCTTTCTGTTGGGAAGACCAGGTTGAAAAGGCCAAGCCTCAGCACAGTGGCTGCTTGCAAGCCCGAAAAAGGGAAAATGAGGGTCCAGCAGCCAGGCAGTTATTGGCTCAGTCTGGAAAAAACCCAAGCTTCAGTTCCTCAGGCACCAAAGATCTGCTGTTAAATACGTTCCAGCCCAGCACAAGACTCCTGTCCCAAAAAGTGCATGGTTCCCAAAGAGCTGAAACAGCACCTCTGTGGCTGGTGCCACTAGGTTCTCTCCTAACAAACTTCCCCGGGGGCTTTCAGGAGGCATTTAAAAGGAAAAAAATGGTGATATAAGATGATGCTACTCACACAGCACCTCAAACCTAGTTCAGGTCTCTGCAACTCCATAACTGGAATTTGAAATGCTAAATGCAGCCACTGAATCAAAGACTCCTTTTCCCTGGGACTAATTTCCCTTAATCTCAATTGCTCCACCTCAGCAATACTCATGTATCAGCTTGGGAGCCCCAGCAGCCTGCATTAAGTTTCAAAAAACATGGGAGATAAGACCATAGATTTCTTTAGTTTGGTCCTCAGCAGAAATCACAACAAATCAAGGACTGATACTGGCATTCGCCCTCATGGGTTTGTGCTGCTAATCCAGCCCACCAGTCGCTACATAATTAATTGCAACCAGGAGCAGGAACTGTGTTTCAGAAGAGGGATTTTTTCTGCTCCGAAAACGTTTTGCCTTCATACTATGATTGCTAAACGACAAACCAGTCTGGCAGCTGCTAACAATAGTCTAGTCTGAAAGACGCAGGGCTTTGGGGAAGCAGCACAGAAGCTCACAGGAGGCTCCGAGGATGTTTCCCCCAGTAACTCTGCCCCCAGCTTTGGCCAGCACTTTCCTTCTGCTAAGGTTCCGTATGTATGACTACAGAGAAAAAAAGGTCTGGACGCGGTGAGTGGGGAAAGGGTTAAGGGCTGGATCTTCCCTCCCTAGTATAAGTCCTCCCACCCCTTGCAGCAGAGAAGACACAGATGGGCATTTGCAGGACTGGCAACATGCAGCGCTTGCCTCTTGCACCCCCTCCCCTCCCCTCCCCTCCCCTCCCCTGGCCCCCATGGAAGGAAGGTTCAAAGAGCAACAGAGATAGTCCAGTTCTTAAAGGTAACTTAGATACAAGTCCCCTGTTACCTGCAATGTCCTGCGCTTATTGTCTTCTGTGTGTATCCAGGCCCGTAACGTCAGCTCTGTGATGAATATCTGAGCAGCCTTGGCAAACAGGACGGGGGCTTCTGCACTGATCATCTACAAAGAAAGTGGGACATTTTACTCCAACTAACCATAAACAAAATAACCCAACTGCAGAGACCTCCCCCATCTCACTGGCACACTCCATGTTCCTGGTTAAGTTTCACTTGTCAGAGTCCAGATACAGGAATTTTCCAGGTCTGGGAAAGAGCTGTCCATTCACTTACGTTGGCATATCGCACTGGTACCTTGCTTTTCTTCTAGGGAGTTCAGAGGTGCATATGTGGATGTCATCCTAAGTTACCCTCACAACGGCTCTGCGAAGCAGGCTGAGCAGAGGAAGTGCTGCTCCAGCACCATCCACTGGGCTGACGGGAGAGCAGAAACTTGCCCTCGGTCTCCTCTGTGCTGATGGGCTTTCAGCTTTAAGGACGGAAAGTGCAACAATCCCTCATGGCCATTGCAAGCCAAGTCTTTGCAAGATCTCAAGACAGCTGCATATGGAGCCTCTGGGCTGCTGCCTCTTAACACAGAGAAACAGCAGGCAGAGGGCCTCCATCTTCTTTGCCAGTTAAGATTCGGTGAAGTGGCACAGCAGGCCAACTTCCTTTCTCAAAGGGGAAGAAGCTCCTTTCACTCTGAACACACTGTCAGTTTCATTTCGTCTCCTGCTTCTGCTCTAACATTCTCTAACTGTACAAATAGGACAGTCACTCCACAAGCTCGTAAGGCAATTAATCCTGAGATTTAATCAATTATGAGAACACTACTGGGGTGCTCAGGCACTGTTGGAGGGGCCATAGGATTTTCTGGATTTCCAAGAACTATGGCCTTGGAGCTAAGAATCGGAGCACTGCTCCTTCACAGGTGGTGTGGAAAGGGCCACACCAGCTGCTCTCTAAGGTCAGGAAGGTGACCCCCGGAGAGGGTGAAAGGGGGTGGGAGGGGAGAAGGCTAAAGATACCAGCATATGAGGGCTCCTGAAGCCACTCTAGCTGTTTTTCCTCCCACACTGAAGTACCCTGGCAAGATAAGCAAAAAGGTCCATCCAACAAAAATGCAAGGACAGGGGAGGGAACATCACCTTCAAGGATGGAACAAGGAAAAAGACTTTGTCCTAATGACCAAGTTTCCTAATGACAAAAATGAAAAAAGTGAAGACCAAGAGAAGCATGACTTTGCTGTTACAAGATGTGATGACCACTGGCTAAGGTTTTCCTCCTTGTATGGAAAATGTCAGGAAAGGCAAAACTTATAGCACCCATACTAGCAAAAGCAAAGCAATGCCTCTGTCATCTGAATCCATCAACTGCATAAACATTATATATAGGGA